ACTGAGCCACCCAGGCGCCCCTATTTTTTGGAATAGTTTAAGAAGAATAGGTATTAGCTCTTTTTAAATGTTTGGTAGAATTTGCCTGTGAAGCTGCCTGATCCTGGACTTTTATTTTTCGGGAGTTTTTTGATTACTGATTCAGTTTCATTGCTGGTAAGCTGTTCAAATTTTCTATTTCTTCCTACTTTAGTTTTGGTAGGTTATATGTTACTAGGAATTTATCCATTTCGTCTGAGTTGTTCAGTTTGTTGGCATATAGGTTTTCATAATATTCTGTTACAACTTTTTGTATTTCTGTGGTGTTGGTTGTTATTTCTCCTCTTCATTAGTGATTTTATTTGGGTCCTTTCTCTTTCTCCCTTCCTCCCCCCTTTTTGATAAGTTTGGCTAAAGGTATATCAATTTTGTTGATCTTTTCAAAGAACCAGTTCCTGTTTTCATTGATCTGTTATTGGGTTTTTTAGTTTCTGTATCACTTATTTTTGCTATAATATTATTCTGTCTTTCCTTTTGCTGGGTTTGGGTTTTGTTTGTTCTTTTTCTAACTCCTTTAGACATAAGGTTAGGTTGTTTATTTGAGATTTTTCGTTCCTCTTGAGGTACGCCTGTATTGCTATTAACTTCCCTCTTAGAATTGCTTTTGCTGCATCCCAAACATTTTAGATTATTGTGTTTTCATTTTCATTTGTTTCCATGTAATTTTTATTTCTTCTTTTAGTTTGTGGTTGACCCATTCATTGTTTGGTTGCATGTTATTTAACCACCATGTATTTGTGATCCTTCCAAATTTTTTCGTGGTTAATTTCTAGTTTCATAGCGTTGTGGTCAGAAAAGATGCATGGTATAACTTTGATTTTTTTTCAGTTTTGAGACTTATCTTGTGGCCTAATATGTGATCTCTTCTGGAGAATGTTCCATGTGCACTTGAAAAGTATTCTGCTTTAGAAAAAAAAAAAACGGGGGGGCGCCTGGGTGGCTCAGATGGTTAAGCGTCTGCCTTCGGCTCAGGTCATGATCCCAGGGTCCTGGGATCAAGTCTCGCATCGGGCTCCCTGCTTAGCGGGAAGCCTGCTTCTCCCTCTGCTTCTCTCTCTCTGTGTGTCTCTCATGAATAAATAAATAAAATCTTTAAAAAAAAAAAAAAAGAGGTTGAACTGTAGACTTCCCCACATTGGTTATATTTAAAAGGATTTTATGCACTATGGTTTCTCATGTGCAATGCAATGGATGAATGGTTCTGTAATACCTTACCACACTGGCTACATTGTTTCTCTCTAATGCAAGTTTTTTCATGCTTACGTTGTAAGATTGAATTTAAGACTTTCCTAGAGTCAATGCATTCATAGGATTTCTCTTTTGTATGTTGTCTCTTGTGCACATCTAAGAAAGAACTAATGAAGGTATTTTTATCATTTTTATGGTCATTGAATTTTTCCCCAGAAAGAATGCTCTCATGTGGGTTAAGGTGTGAAAAATCTCTGAGGGCTTTCCCATGATGAAGGAGTTGATGGGGTTTCTTTTCAGGATAAATTCTCTGATTCTGAGTAATGCTAGATTTCATGCTCAAGGCAATTTTATTCTGCTCAATGGATCTGCCTCCATGAGTTTGCTCCTTCTTCTTGCCACTGAGTGCTTCCTTCTCCAAAATATCTTGTTTATGTTGTGATTGGGTTTTTTTTGTTTTTTTTTTTAAGATTTTTTATTTATTTATTTGAGAGAGAGAGAGCGCATGAGAGGGGGGAGGGTCAGAGGGAGAAGCAGACCCCCTGCCGAGCAGGGAGCCCGATATGGGACTCGATCCCGGGACTCCAGGATTATGACCTGAGCCGAAGGCAGTGGCTTAACCAACTGAGCCACCCAGGCGCCCGTGATTGTTTGGTTTTAAGGAGAACCATCCAATTTGAACAGTTATCTGTTTTAGTTTCATCTTCTTGTTCCATCTGGGTGATCAGAGTGGGTTTGCTGAGCTGCTTTTCCAGAGATGCCAAGTATCTATAGTTCTCCAGCATCACATCTCTGTAGTTTTCTCTGATGTGAATTCAACAATGCCCATTCCTCCTGGGTGAAGTCCATGGCCACATCCTCAAAGGTTATTGAGTTCTGTAATGCAGAGTGGATGTTTTCCACTTCTGTGATCCTCTCGTGGGCACCAGCAGGGTCTAATATAGCAGACAGATGTATGGCCGCCATTTTGCAAGTCCATGATGCTCTTTTTGCTTCTATGGTCCACTGCAGGCAGGGCTCAAAACACACAGAAATCCATAGATCAGTGAGGTAAGGGTTTGAGCCAGGCTGCTGTTCACATACTCCTCAGCTACAGCATGCTTTGAGTCTCTATGTATCTATTATTTTGCCAGTATGGTACTGTTTTAATTACTACTGCTTTGTAATATAACTTGAAATCTGGAATTGTGACACCTCCAGTTTTTTCTCTTATTACATTCTTTAGCAGATTTTTTTTCCAGTGGCATTTCTGACTAATTCATAGAATTTTATGAAATAATTTTAATTGTAATAATTAATGATTTAATATTGTATAACAAAGTGATTTAAAACATCTGCTTTATTATGTTATAATTGTATTTTATTATGCTTTTCAGGTCAAATAAGAGGGAAACAATATCAGTGCTGAATAAAACTACATGTATTAGGCAACTACCATCTTCAAATTCAGAACAGGCCATACTTCAAAGAATTTAATTTATTAAAGTATTGGGGAGAAGAATGATTTTATGGATGTTAGAAAAACAAAGAGTTTCAACAAAAAATATGAAATAAAGGCAAGAATTGGCAACAGAAACTCTTATCTGGAAATATTTTAAGAATCATTTTATAAATTAGAAAGAGTATCAGTGAAAACATAAAAATATCTATTTTAAAAAGAAAAACAACAGGGCGCCTGGGTGGCTCAGTCATTAAGTGTCTGCCTTCGGCTCAGGTCAGGATCCCCGGGTCCTGGGATCAAGTCCCACATCGGGCTCCTTGCTCAGCCAGGAGCCTGCTTCTCCTTCTCCCACTCCCCCTGCTTATGTTCCCTCTTTAGCTGTCTCTCTCTCTCTGTCAAATAAATAAAATCTTAAAAAAAAATAAATAAACAAGAGTAAAGAAACTTAGTTCTACATAAACAGCAAAAGCGATGTTGTGGGGAATTATAAGTTTGAAGAAATACAGAGGTATAGATTACATATTACAAAGGAATTTTAAATAACTTTAAGAAAGAAGGCAATTGAAAAGAATACTAATTCTTTTAACAATGTGATCTGACACATGATTGGTATATGCATTGAGGAAAGCACATGGAAATAAAAAAAAACTTAGTAAGCATCTCAGTATTAAATTTTTTTTAAAGATTTTATTTATTTATAGTGTCAAAAACTAATGATGTATTGTATGGTGACTAACAACATAATAAAATAAAATTTAAAAAAAGATTTTATTTATTTATTTGACAGAGAGAGACACAGCGAGAGAGGGAACACAAGCAGGGGGAGTGGGAGAGGGAGAAGCAGGCCCCTCCCCGAGCAGGGAGCCCTATGCGGGGCTTGATCCCAGGACCCTGGGATCATGACCTGAGCTGAAGGCAGACGCCTAACGACTGAGCCACCCAGGCGCCCCAGCATCTCAGTATTAAATTTAACCAATGCTCTTCAGGATGATGAAAACAAACATTTCAAACTAAAATGAATCAGAAATTATGTTTTTAGTACATTGCTAACATCTCTTAACTCAAAGTTAATTTATCTGAGTTTCAGAACATAGAAACCATATGATTTGTTTCAGTCATTGCATTTTAAAAATGTTTTATGTGTTAAACAGAAAAATAAAGGAAAACACCCACAGTATTTTATTTAAAGCATGTCATGAAGGATTATGATTTTTAAGTAGTTTAATAAATGGTAGAAACACTTGGCAAGTGTTCTCAGAAATATCATTTACCAAAATTTGCCCAAACTGGAAAGCAAAAGTCCTTCATTCTTCTTAACCTCTGTGAAACAAAAATCAACCAGAGTTCAAAAGAGTCACCAAGTTACAGAAAATGTAGGTTTGATTGTAATAGAATAAGCATAAAAAGGTAACTCAAGAAAGTGTTGGAATATAGCAAATAACAGATTTGGAATAAGGTTTATTAAAAAAGCAAACAAAAGTAGAGCAGCTTTAGAATTTATTCAAGAAAAGCTAAATTCCTATTTTCATTTAAATTGGCAATAACTGATCTTTCAGAACATCTTGAAAGACCTTCACTCAGATCTACAAAATAATGTTTCTTTTTTTTTAAGATTTTATTTATTTATTTTTGAGAGAGAGAGAGAGATCACAAGTAGGCAGAGCAGCAGGCAGAGGGAGAGGGTGAAGCAGGCTTCCCGCTGAGCAAGGAGCCCGGTGAGGGACTTGATCCCAGGACCCTGGGATCATGACCTGAGCCGAAGGCAGATGCTTAACCAACTGAGCCACCCAAGTGCCCCAAAATAATAAGTTTCTAAGGCCAAATGGAAGATGTCAGGAAAGAATCAAAAGTCATATATGATGAATTTAAGTTGATAAGTGGCAAAAATGAATCACAAAAGAGACAGTTATCTAAAGTAAAAAATATTCTGAAAAAGAAGCAAAATGTAAGTCTAGAAATGTGATCTATAGTCATCATCACATTTGAGTTATTAAATCCTATTCAAATGATGCAAATATATCAAAAAGGGTAATCACTACAATTATTGGAAGATTCATGACAGTCTCCTAACAAGTTGAAAGCTAGAAAAACTATAGTTTTCTCATAAATACCTTTTTTTTTTAACTACAGAAATGAAGCATCAGAGGGAAACACAGGAACATTTTTCACAAATGTAGAATTTTCTTCTGATGGATTTAAAATCGAAAGCCATAGTCTTATGCCAGGTAAACAAGATGAGAAAACTAGCAGTTCATTTTACATGCTCTTTAATGAGATGGAAGATTCATCATCAAAATGGGACTTTCTTAAGCCTTCTCCTTCAAGTACCTTAAGTAAAAGAAAGAAGTGCTCCACAGATGATGAAACGGTCATAATAACTGTTGGTAAGCTTTAGATCACAATGTTTTTCCTCTAATTGAGTATATGTTGGTACTTTTGTTGTGTTATTTATTAATACTCTAAGGTTTTAACAAGTAGTCTATAGGCTCTATATTTGTCCAACAACTTCACAGGCTATGCTTTTGACAGTTAAGCAGTTGTACAATTTTTATTATTTAGGCTTATGCATTGCATTGAAATATATCCCAGGTTGTAGAGAAAAGTTTCCGAAGGCAATATTTCTCTGCGTGTAATATAAAAGAACTGTCATCAGGAATATGAACACCTGAGACCACCATACTTATCTTGAGTGAGAAATGAAGGATCAAAGCAGTTTTCCCCACTCCCCAAAACTTCTTTCAGTTTTAGGTATAATGGTACTGTACATCACAGGGACCTCTTCAAATAAGAGGTTATGCAGAGTGTAAGGGAATCTCATTGTGAGGTTATAACAAGTCTTCTTTCTAGCAACAAATTATTTCTCTTTTGAAAAAAATATTTGAAATAATTTTGAAGTGCTTATGACCCTTTCTCTTTCATTACACTTAAGCATAATACAGTTTCCCCCCCCAGATAAGCTGACAATGCCCCCTTTCCCTCTTTAGTGTACATATGATAACATGGAAGATTAAAGTAGGTCTGTTTAGTAGGCCAGATGAGTTCCAGGAGAGATTTTCTTTTTTCCCCTGTCACCTACTCTTAAGTTATCTTACACTGATTGGAAAAGGGAATGAAAATGCTCCCCTCTCTTCTGAATAAACATATAAGGAAGCACAAACAAGGTTCAGTTAGTTCTGTATTCCAGTTTTACAATGATAAAGTCCAATCACACAAAATATACATGTGGGAGATGAAAAGTTGAGCATGGTACCCCTAAATCCAGCTTCCCTTGCACAAAGTATATGCCTGGAGCAGCATTGCTTCTCTTGGACATTCCTTCTACCTTTGAAAAATACCCCGTGAAGACTTTTTTTTTCTGCATCCAAGGAAAGAGGATTACACAGGGCATGTGTACCAGAGGAAAGGAATCATATTCATATTCTTCTTACTAACATAATTTTTAGATATTTTTATGCTAAAAGAGCATCTGTCTCTACTGACCTTGAAATATATTTCAAAGCCTTCTTCTGTTAACTTTGCCTTTGCAGATGCCATGCCCAATTGCTTCTTCCTGATTCTTGAAGGTTGTTTTTTTTTTCCCCTTGAGTGCAGCAAATAGGGAGTGCAATAAAGGCATTCTGCACCTAGATCTAAAAGAGTTTACAATCTAGATGAAGGGAAAATTTCCCAGCAACAGGAGTTCCTGAATTTCCTTAAAGAAAAGGGGTTTAAGAATTAGCATTCTTGGGGTGCCTGGGTGGCTCAATCAGTTAAGCGTCTGCCTTCAGCTCAGGTCATGATCTAGGGTCCTGGGATCTAGCCCCACGTTGGGCTCCCTGCTCAGGAGTCTGCTTCTCCCTCTCCCTCTGCCCCTCCTCCTCCCCCTGCTCATGCTTGCTCTCGGTCTATCTCTATCTCTATCTCAAATAAATAAATAAAATCTTTTTTTTTAAAGAAGAATTAGCATTCTCGTTGGACTTGAGGCATTCTCATTGGAAGTGAAGCTTAAAGTATGAAATGGACAGAGGTCATCTGAACTTAAGGATAGTGGTAGACGGGGTTGAAAACTTGAGCAAAATGGAGAAAGATCAGAATATCTTCAGTGGAGAATAAGACACTAAAAATCTGCATAATTCATTGGATTTAATTTACTTCATTAACAAGTAGGCAAAGCAGAAATCATCAGAGAAATAATTGTTTCTAAAGCCTCTGACTACCCATATAAGCCATTCAATTATAGAACCTCAATCATTTTTATTTATTATTGAGAATAAAAGTTCTCATTCCTCATGGTAGTTATGTTCTATAAAGTTGCTGTGAACATTGAATTAACAAATACTGAACTGTTGCTCCTTCGGAAAAATATAGGGTTATGTTCTGATTACATTTTTGTCAACCAGTCAATACATAGTTTTGTTTTATGTGTGTTTTTACTTAAAGACACCTTATAAGGGATAGTTAGTTGATTCATTAACATTGAACTCAGTCAACAGCAGCACTAAAACTCATAGCTGAATGAGAATTATCTACCACATACATTTATTCTGTAAGGCACATCACAGCCTTCATGCACTCAGGAACACTAGACAGTGTTTTGCATTATGCTTCAGGTTTTGAACAGTGAAATCACCAACAGAAAGTACAAAAATGCAAAAACCATAGCACTACATAGATCACAAAAAGGATAATTGTCGACAGTATGAGATCTACAGTAAGAAGGCAGAATGTTGCTTTGTTTGACCTCAGTTAAAAACATGCACATCGACTAAAATTTTTCACCACTCTGCCCATTCACATGCTTGTAAATAACTTTAAAAGCACTGTGAGTATTGATTTTGGGGTTGCAAATAAATTTCATTGAGCAAATGAATTCACAAATATGGAATCCACAAATAATGAGGATCAACCATGATTACTTTAGCAAGGTTTCAGATCCATCTCTCATTGCAGAATTTAAATTGGTTCTGAAAACAAAAATACCTCTCAGAGACTCTATTTATTTTTTAATATGTAGTCTTTAATTTCATTTTCATTGTGTTCAAATTTTTCCTTTCCATCTCTTCTTTTAAAATATAGTTTGTTTTTACTTTTAAAAACTGCTTTATTGAGAAATAATTGAAATACATATTTATGACACTTTGGACAAAGTATGTATACATGTAGATCACTACAGTCAGGATAATGAGTATATTCATTATCCCCAAAAGTTTTTGTATACCCTTTTGTAATCCCTCCTTCCCATCCTTCGCTGTTCCCCATCTCTTAGCAACCATTCATCTGCTTTCTGTCACCATAGATTAGTTTGCATTTTCTAGAGTTTTATATAAATGGGATCATATGTATGTAGTCTCTCTCTTTTTGGCTTCTTTCACTCAGCAGAATTATTTTAAAATTTATCCCTGTTGTTGTGTGTTTCAATAGATTATTTCTCTTTATTGGTCAAAGTATTCCATTGTATGAATATACTACAATTTGTTTATTTATCTGTTGATGGACACTTGAGTTGTTTCCAGTTTGTAGTGGTTTTCTCTTGCTGATTAACAAATTACTACAATCTTAGCTGCTTAGAACAACACCCATGTGTTAGTTTTTAGTTATGTAGAGCAGAAGTCTAGGAACAGTGTGGCCAGATTTCTCTACTTATGGTATTATAAGGCTGAAATCCTGATGTCAGCTGGGCTGCATTCCTTTTTGGTGGTTCTGGTGAAAAAAATCTGCTTCAAAGTTCATTCAGGTTGTTAATTCAATTCAATTCCTTCTAGTTGTAGGACTGAGGTCCTCATTTTCTTGCTGGCTTTCAGTTAAGGGCTGCTCTCAGCTGCTAGAGGCTGCCCTCATTTCTTGCTGCATGGCTCCCTCTAGAGAATTTACCACATACAAATTCCCCTGAAGCTTCAATCTCTGACTTTCCCAGTCTCTGAACTCTAGGCCCAGATTCTTTTTTTCATGTTTTTATTTAAATTTTAGTTAGTTAACATATAGAAAACATATTGTTTTCAGGAGTAGAATTTAGTGATTCATCACTTAAATATAACACCCAGTGCTCATCACAACAAGTGCCCTCCTTAATATCCATCACTCATTTATCCCCTCCCCCCCATCTCCCATCCAGCAACCCTCAGTTAGATTGTTCTCTATAATTAAGAGTCTGTTTCCTGGTTTGCCTCCCTCTCTTTTTTTCTCCTTTCCCCTATGTCCATCTGTATTGTTTCTTAAATTCCACATAGTTGTGAAATCTTAGGGTATTTGTCTTTCTCTGACTGACTTGTTTTGCTTAGCATAATATACTCTGGCTTTATCCACGTCATTGCATATGGCAACATTTCATTCTTTTTAATGGCTGAGTAATATTCATATATGTATGTGGTTATTATATATACCCCACATGTGCTTTATCTATTCATCAGTCAGTGGACATTTGGGCTCTTTCCATAATTTGGCTATTGTTGATAATGCTGCTATAAACATCAGGGTGCATGTGCCCTTCTGGATCAGTATTTTTGTATCCTTTGGGTAAATACCTAGTAGTGCATTTGCTGGGGCATAAGGTAGTTCTATTTTTAACTTTTTGAGGACCTCTAGGCCCAGATTTAAAGGGCTAATATGATTAGGCCAGGCCCACTCAGATCATCTCTCTATCTTACTCATAAGTTTAAGGCATGGATCATCTCCTTATCTTAAACTCAATTGACTTGGGACCTTAATAACATCTGCAAAATCCTTTAATAGTAGTACTAGATTAATGCTTCTTGAATAACTGGGAAAAGGTGCACGTATACCAGGGGCTGGGAATCTGGGGCCATCTTAGAATTCTGCCTACCACAGAGTTTTTGGCTAGTACAAATAAAGCTGCTATAAAAATTGTATGAACATATATTTCCTTTTTTATTGGATAAATATGTAGGAATAGAATGGCTGAATCATATGGTAGGTATATGTTTAACGTTTCATGAAACTATCCAACTATTTCCAAAGTGATTCTACCATTGTACATTCCCACCAGCAATGTATGAGAATTCCAATTCCTCCCCATCCTTGCCAACCTTTGGTATGGTCAGTCTTTCTAATTTTAGCCATCCTAATGGGTGTGTACTGATATTTCATTATGATTTTAATTTGTCTTTCTCTAATGCCTAATGATATGGAGAATCTTTTCATATGCTTATTTGCCATTATGTATATCTCGTTTGGTGAAGGTCTGTTCATATCATTTGCTCACTTTTAATTGGACTGTTTGTTTTCTTATTGATGAGTTTTGAGAACTCTGTACATATTCTGGGTATAAGTCCTCAATCAGATGTGTGCTTTGCTAAGATTTTCTCCAGTCTGTGGCTTGTCTTTTCATTCTCTTAGTAGCATCTTTTTTTTTTTTTAAGATTTTATTTATTTATGTGACAGAAAGATA